AAATCAGAAGTAGCAATAATTACCAAAGGAAACAAGATTTAGGATCAGATACTGGTCAGCGGATGCAAGACTTGAAAATCGAAAACTGATTAGACTGAAAAAAAAAGAAAAAAAGAAAAAAAAAAAAGCAGGCGATGTAAAGACAGAGAAACCCTAGGTGTTCACCTGAGATGAGAAACGCAGAGCCACAGAAACTGACGATGTTCGATGGCGAGAGTGTTAGAGAGAAAGGTGAGTTCCTTGGATTCTTGGAGGAATAAAAGAAAACCTAATGGGCTTCTTATATAAAAAGGACCGAGCGGTCAGGTTTCTGGACTCTCCTAATTTTTCACCCCTTGACGTGACATTCACTACATTTTGCAATTTTTTTTTTTTATCTTAACAATACAATAAAAAATAATTATTTTTTATTTTTTATCCCATATCAGATGTTATGTTTTTTAAATTTAAAATTTATTAGTTTTAAATTGTTGGCTACATTTGCAAATTTTACGGACTACTTCTCCACGAAGTGGGTAGGCAAATTACATTTAAACTTTTTTAATTGAAGGGATGATTATTAAATTTTAACTAAAAAATTAAGGTAAATGTTGAATAGGTAGTGCAGAAGTTCTCGTGATTCAATGGTTCAGTTATGTGTTATTAAGGGTATCTTTATTTTTGTAGAAGTGTAAAGTGTGAATTTTATTCTTATGTTAAAAAATATATATATATTGAATAATAGGTAGTGATAAAAAAATAAAATTTATAAAACTAAGGTAAAAATAAAATAAATTTAAATTATATAATTTAAATTATTAAATAAATTTTTTATATTAAAAATTTATTTTTTATTTAATAATTTATAATATTTTATATTTTATATTTTATAATTTAAAACCGGAAACTCAAAATAAAGAATAAAAAAGCCAAAAAGGCTAAAGTTGGATATGAACTGAAATATTGGTAAAAACTTATTTTTAACTCTTTATCTTAATAAATTTGTAAGTTTTAATTTTTTATTGATACTTTTAGTATTTTATCTTTACGAATTGAAGAAAATAACCCCTTACATTTTATGAATTGAAAAAAATAACCCTTACTTAATATCAGTTTATAACTATCGTCGGCTGACTATTAACATTTTGTTAGTTCTGTTTTTGTTACCATTAATCATTTGTCAACTAATTGTTAATAACTGTTAATGGAATATTAACAATTGGTTTATGAATATTATAACCTCACGATAAGTAAGAGTTTTTTTTTTTCAATTCGTATAAATAAAGAGTTAAAAATATCATAATATAAATTGATATGTTAAAATTTATAAACTTATTTAAAGTAAAAAGTTAAAAGAAAAATTTTTGCTTGAAATATTGGGGACTAACGTTATAAAATGGTTGTTGGGAACCAACCTTTGCTCATCAGAAACAATAGGGACCCAAAAGTTATTCAACTAACAAGCCATTATTCTAAACTTGAAAGGCCCAACTGAAGATCGAAGTCAAGGCCCAGTTTATGGCCCAGTCACTCCTCGTCTCCGTTCTCGTCGTTCAAAGTACAGGGGTTTAATTTAACATGTTAGGGTGGTTGGAAGACGAAGACCTTCGCTTTCCTCCTCTGTTTCTGAACGAATCCCATCCATTTCCAGCCAAATGAGGTCTCGTCCATCTTCTTCATCAATCCGTCTTCTGCTTCGCTTTTTTCCGACCTCCAAATCTATCTGCTTGCAACCCCAATTCCCCACTTTATCACTCCATGAATCTCTGCTTCCATACAAGTCCAATGCAAGCACAACTTCTCTCGGTTCAGTTGATGATGAGCCGTCTTCAGATTTCCATTTCCTCAGAAACCCACTCTCTCCGGGATGCAAAGATGCCATCTTGGAAAACACAGACCCGAGACGGGAAGATGTGGTTGGCACTCTCATACAGCACAGAAATGCTCCATTTTTGGCTCTGAGGTACTTTAAGCGTATTGAGAAAACGAGGGGTTTTGTCAAGAGCGTTGATTCTTTTTGTCTTCTGCTTCACATTTTAGTGGGAGATCAGGAGGAATATAAAATACATAAACAAGCTGTATATCTGCTTAACCTGTTCGTTTCTGGGGATTCAGGGCCGGCATCTGAAGTTTTTGTTGATCACTTGGTTGAGGTTGCAAAAAGATTTGATTTTGAATTGCATTCCCGGGTTTTTGATTACTTGTTGAATGGGTATGTTAGAGCTGAGCGGATTGAAGATGCTGTGGATTGTTTTAATAGAATGATTCAACACAATATAATTCCTTCAGTAAGCTATGCAAATATTCTTTTAACAGCATTGGCAAGGAGAAATTTGATTGATAAAGCTCGAGAATTGTATAGCAAGATGGTTTTGAAAGGACTTAGTGGTGATTGTTTTACAGCTCATATTCTGATGCGGGCATATCTGAAAGAGGGGAGACCGGAGGAGGCACTGGCCTGTTTTGGTGATATGAAGGCTTGCGGGGTTAAACTTGATTATGCAGTTTATAACATTGCTATTGAGGCTGCTTGTAAGAAACCAGATTTGAGTATGGCTTGTGAGATGTTGCGGGAAATAAGAGATATGGGGTGGGTTCCATCTGAGGGTTCATACACTACAATTATTGGTGCTTGTGTGAAGCAGGGAAATCTAGTTGAGGCATTGAGGCTTAAAGATGAGATGGTGAGTAGTGGGATGGCAATGAATTTGGTTGTTGCTACAAGTTTGATGAAGGGGTACTGCAAACAAGGTAATCTTGGTAGTGCTTTTGATTTGTATAACAAGATTAAAGAGGATGGTCTTACTCCTAACAATGTTACTTATGCGGTGTTGATTGAGTGGTGTTGTAGGAGTAAAGACATGGAAAAGGCTTATGAGTTTTACATGCAAATGAAACACGTTGGTATTCCACCTACTAATTTTATTGTCATTTCCTTGATTTGTGGATTCTTGAAAGCTAACAAATTGGAAGAAGCAAGAAAGCTGTTTGATGAGGCATTTGAGTATGGCGTTGCCAATGTAATCACTTATAATGTCCTTTTATCATGGTTCTGTAAGAGGGGTAATGTGAGTGAAGCACTCAGCTTATGGCAGAATATGGTTTCCAAGGGTGTAGTTCCTACCATTGTTTCTCACAACAACATGATCCTCGCTCACTCTAAAGCAGGGGACATGGATAGGGCACATGGTTCATTTGCAGAGATGATTCAAAAAGGAGTTAAACCTACTGCTGTGACATATTCTATTTTGGTCAATGGCCATTTCAGTAAAGGTGATGCTGAACGTGCTTTGGATGTTGTTGATGAAATGAGGGGCATTAAGATTGCTCCCACAGACTTCACATTCAATATCATTATTAATGGTTTGTGCAAAGTAGGTCGCTCATCTGATGCAAGGGATAAATTAAAGAAGTTTGTTGAGGAGGGCTTTATCCCATCATGTATGACTTATAATAGCATTATAGATGGGTTTGTCAAGGAGGGGGCCATGAACTCTGCCTTGGCTATATACAAAGAAATGTGTGAAAGTGGGATTTCGCCAAATGTTGTTACTTACACAAGCTTAATCCATGGGTTTTGCAACAGTGATAATATTGATCTTGCTATGAGAATGCGAAATGAGATGAAAGTCAAGGGTCTTGAACTGGATGTTCCTGCATACTGTGCCCTCATCCATGGATTTTGCAAGAAGCAAAACATGCAAAGTGCATGTGAGCTTTTCTCTGAACTCCGTGAAGATGGGCTATCTCCAAATACAGTTGTTTACAATGAGATGATTAGCGGGTTCAAGAATGTAAATAATATGGAAGCAGCAATTGACTTGCACAAGAAAATGATTTCTGAGGGGATACCATGTGATCTGAGAACATACACCACGCTAATTGATGGATTGTTGAAAGAGGGTAAATTACTCTTTGCATCAAATCTTTACTTGGAGATGCATGCCAAGGGCATTTTACCTGATATAATCACATATTCTGTTCTGATAAAAGGTCTTTGTAACAATGGACAGCTAGACAATGCTCGGAAGATTTTGGAAGAGATGGATGTCCAGAGTATGACTCCTAATGTTCTTATTTATAATGCATTGATTGCTGGACACTTTAAGGAGGGGAATTTGCAAGAGGCTTTTAGATTGCATAATGAAATGCTTGACAGAGGTCTTGTACCTGATGACACAACTTATGATATTCTTGTAAATGGACAAGTTAAAGGGAGAAATTTTATTTCTGGAGTTTCATGCACTTGAATAACCTATAAATTATTGCTTCAAAATTTTGCTTCCTGCCTTGATCCAGCTAGAAGATTCTTGAAAACTATCTACCACCTTCAAAGGGATGACACACATTCTGCTGCCATTTCTCTGGGAAGCAGAAAGATGCCTCTGGTAGTCTGGTTAAGAAGTGGCTGTGGATTTACTGAGGTTGGAGGCCTTGGGGCTGTTTACATGGCAATTGGGGTTTGTCAGCATATAGTTCAGGTGGTTTTTTCTGTATTTCTCAGTGTGGCAGCCATCAATTTCCCCTGGTTCTTACACAGTCAGTTTGGTTCCCTTTACACAAGCAATCAATCTCTGGTAATTTGATGGTAAGATTTGCATTTCTTTAGATGGTATGTCTTTCAAAACTTTGTTTTCTCTTTTGTAAGGGCATTTGGTTTGTCTTAGTGATTTGTTGAGTAGGCATTAAAGCACGCATCATAAAACACACATGTTACAAATGTTATTTCGGATATTTAAAGGATACTCCTTTCTTTTTTGTAAAACAACTATAATCTAATGCATACAGTATGAGTTATCTTATCTATAATTTTCAGGAAGTCATTCTCTGTAAACAAAACAGAGGCAAACAGCTGAAATTACTTTTATCTCTACACTAAATGCTCTGAAGCCTTATATATATAAAAGAGTTGAAACTCTTGAGAAAAAAGGTGGTTTCCGGATTTCTTTGTGCTGGTATGTATTGCATAAAATAGATCTGAAATACATGCGTGTGTTGGTGGGGTGGGGGGGTGAGGGATTCTCATACAATGAGGTCAGGTTCCAGGGTGTAAAAGCTCTTTTATTCATTTTCATTTGTAATGACATTCATTTGTCTAAGCATTCCTTTGAAGATGTCACAATCTGATGATGCATTAACATATTCTACTGCTGGATGACACTTCACCAACTTGATGGGAATGACATCTTTCTATTTATCTTCTTTTATGATGAATCTGCTCATTTTATAGTGAGTAGCATGACATGTGTGGCTTTGAGTGTGGATTGCTGGAGAGGTGCTGAGAAAAATAATAAAAATACTGTGGTGTGGTCTTAGTATTCACAATTCAGAAAGTTGTCTTTGACACATTTAGTTTTCAGATCTCAAATCATTTTTCATTTTCAGTAAATTGTATCTTCTCTCCGATTCATTAAAAGAAATGCATAAGCTGCCTAGGACCGTACAATTAATCCACTTTTCCTAGTCTGACATCAACATGTTTTTCCAGGGAATTTGAATAAGAACTAATAATGCATTTGTTGAACGTATTACGGATGCATTATTTGTTGGGCCACCTACCCCTGTCTGTGCATGTGTTGCTATCTTTGAATGCCACCACAGCAAGATAGTGGGTGACACCCTTTTGAAATTCATCAATGAGAAGAGCAGTTATATCAAAGTGGATGCAGCAACCCTTAGGTGCTTGTGTAAGAATGGTGCTGCTAGCGTCCTGCCCAAAATTCCACCTTAATTACCCAGAAGATAAGAAGATCAAAATGAAGGTGATAAAGATATTTCACTGTCTGATCTACATGTTTTTTTACTTACCCCTTTATAAAAACAAGTCATTTGTAAAATTCTATTCTTATGCAGTGAAAGTCTCTGTATCCATGGATTGAACTTCCATGTGGATAAAGAAGAGTAACCCTAGAAGCACGCTTGTACAGAAAACCAACCATCAAGTCCTTCAACCCTTCAATGTTTCTCAATAAAACATCCTTTTTAACATACCCTGCAGATAAATTTTGTTCATGGTTGGCTTTTTTTTTTTTTTTTTTTTTTTTTATGTTAGTTGTTCAGCTTCGAGAGGTCTATGTGGAATTTAATTTTAGTTGTTCACACTTGTATTGCATTCGGGATGTGAATTTAAACTAGAGATCTTTTAGAATCTGTTCGTCTAGCATTTGTATTAAATCTTGTCGCCATCAGTAAGGAATAATTTTTCTTTTTGTCAACTAAGTTGGCAATCTTTAGCTTTCATTCTTTATTATGAACTTATTTTTATGTAAGAGATTTATGATCATATCAAGCATTATTTTCTTCTTTTATGTATTGTGCTCCCTATGTTGAATGGACCAAGACCAACATATCTTATTATGAAGAAAGTATTGTATTTTCAAAAATGTTATAATTATAATGTCACGTATTATTATAAATTTATAATATAATATGTTATTATATAATTAATTTTTTATTTAAAATTTTATTTATAATATTATATATTTATTTGTTTTAATAATATATTATATTCTTTTAATGTTATGTCATATTATAATCATTGTCGTACTTTCTTTTGATCCTCCAATTTAAAATTTCAAGCTTTCACTCTCTGAATGTTGGAACATAACCTCCACCAAGGCAGTGATTCTATCCTGTTGGGCTTATTTTCCTATTACTTCCACAAGCAACATTTTGATAATGCGTAAGGACAAGCTTGAAAACAATTAGAGATTAGGTTTTTGATAAGTCTGAAGTGATTTAAGATTAAGCAAAGGTGAAATTGACATTGTTCATTTCGTATAAAATTGTCTTTCTTTGGGTCAAACTGTCAATTAACAAGTTTCAATTTAGGATTATATCATGTCGAGGAGAATTTCATGCTAACTTGAAGGGGGCACGACCCTCTATGGTGTTGCTCTCATGACTTGCTCAAAAGGCAACATAATTATTGGACCCCCAAGCCTTAACCCCCTAGATTTTAAGGTTATTAGTCTTTTATTTAAAAATTTAAAAATATTAGCTCATCCATGATATAATTTAAGAGAATTTTTTTTATTTACTAAATTTAAAGCAAACTTCATTTATTAGATGTTATTTTTATCATAATCAACAACCCATCAACATCTCTATCATATGTGGCCTGCTACCATAGCAATCAGTAAAAAATTCTTCTTTAATATAATATAAGTCTCGCTATATCACACTAAGTTAAAAAAAAAATAAAAATAAAAAAAAGAGAAATAGTCGAAACAAAAGGTTTCAGCATGTGACATACTACATAGAATAGAAATACTAATATATCATCAACTAAGATAAAAATAATGTCTAATTAATGGTGTATGCTTCAAATCCGATAAACTAGGAGAAATTCTCCCCAATCACATTATTGAAGGACTAATACCTTAAAGTTTTTAGATAAAGGGTTAATATTTTCAAATTTTATAAATTACAGGGATACCTAAAGGGTTAAGCCGACCCCCAATAGTATATTTGGCATTACGAATATTTTACCTCATGATTTAAATAAACATTAATAAATACTGGGATTTATGGTGAATCCTTAATTTAATGGTTAAGGTGGAGACCATGATACCTTTAACACTTTAGATTCAAATCTAGGTCTGTGGGAGTATATCTATTTATTTTTTTATGATATTTGCAGGTATATTTATTAAAATTTTTATTTATATGAAAGAAATTCTATTCTTTTGAAATTTAAGAGGAGCAATATAAGTAATTATGAGTACATATATGTTTGGAATAATAAGAATTTGAACCCCTAGTTTTAACTTAAATCAAAATTTTTCAGTTTTTAAGTGTATATATATATAAGAGCATGTACAACAGTTTCTTGCATTTTCAAAAAGAACATAAAGTTTCAATTTTATCATGCTAGAGCATTTTGAAAAGAGATCCATGGTCTTTACACTGAACTCCACTCTCTTAATTTTTCTTGCCTCTCTTAGGCAAAAACGACACCATTTTTAGCTTAAAAGGGACAACAAAAAAAAAA